GAATAGTTTCATTTTTCAAAAGAAAATTTTAATTTTATTTGTTTGATAGATATTTTGTATGGATATAGAGAAGGAGGTAAATGGAAATGTATTATTGTATAGCAGCTGTCCACGCGGACGCATCGCTCACTCAAGTAGGAGAGAGACAGATGTCGAACGCTGCCGAACGCGGAGGCCGATTGTGCCTCTTTGTCGCTCGTTCCGCGCTCTCGCTTGCACTTCAAGCCTTAAATGGAACGCCTCAGAGCGAGGTAACGCCGCATGAGTCATGTGTTTTCATGCGTGCAGCCGGCTCCATCGAATTATAAGACGTTGTCACGTCAAAAACATGACTCATGCGACTGGCGTATATAAATACCCGACTAATACCCGATCATTGATGATCTTCAAATACCTGATGTGGATTCTCTTAAACCCTTACTACGGTACATAACTCTTGTTAAAATCTGCTATTGCAATTGTTGAGAAATACCTTTCTTTTTTCTTTTGGGTGTTTCATTCCCACCAGCCACTAATGCTGGTGGACGGGCAGTCCCTCTGGACTACGCCAGAAGGTAGGGCGAAGGTCCTCTTCAGCCTGCTTTCAGGAATCGTGGGAATGGGTGGGTGGTGGTTCAGGTGAGAAAGTTAAGATGGGTGAAATGAAGATAGAAGAGAATGAAAGATTATCTTTTAAATATTATTGCCCCAACGTTTGTCTAAGTGATCCAAGGAAACCACAGTAAAAATTTGGACCAAGGCAGACGGACCCGGAATCGAACCGATGTCCTCCCGAATGCTAAGCAATGTTCTAAACTTTTAAGCCATGTCGTTTGGTGAGAAAATCAGAATTTTACTACGTACTTTACTTTCGGTTACATTAATAATTTGAAAAAATCTAGATTGATTTTGTCGAAAAACATTTATCGCCCTATATCTTCCAACCAAGGCGGATTTCTAAAAAGTTTCAAACGACAAATATTTATAGAATAATACAGGAAATCATTCCTTCAAGTATTTCCGTATGCTTAGCAAATCCACGTTATAAAACATTTAAATAAATAATTATACTCATCTAGTCTACTATACATAAAAATCTACACAGGAAATTGAATTTTCTTATAAATTACATATGTAATAAGAATAGAAAAGCCGTAGAAGGGGTGGGTTGTAACGCGTGGATGAAGAGGGGTCCATTCTTAAGCAACATCAGAAGCGAACACTTGAATGTTAATTTAGTTTACAACATTCCTTTGTTTTGCATAAAAGCTTCTTTGCGATATTTGACTTTAATACTTTTTGAGACGACATTTTCGTTTATTTTGAAATCAGAAAAGTACAGGTGATGTTCTGATTGCTTATTCGGGCATCCTACTTTCCTTAATGTTCCCATTTTGATGGGTAGCCGTAAAAATATGTAATAAAGTATTTCTGCCAAACTGACAAAGCTGCATCCTAAAAATAAACTAAAAACCCCACCCAAAGAATCTAAAAAGTCAATGCGATATTAATTAAAGGTATTTAAAATAAAATTATTTACTTACAAAGAAGGTACACAGTTGAGGTGATGGTCTCCTTTACGAGTTTTATATGTAAATCAGTGCCATGGTGAATATACAAAACACCTGTCTGTGGTGTTATATTAAAAGATTCGCTGAAAAACGTATAAAAATTATATCCACTACAGGAAAATTTCGCCTATTAAATGATACTAATGCTTGATTATACGAAGCCAGTTCCCTTATATCTATCTATCAGGTTGTGGTATGTTGACACAAAATCTCAAAAATTGTAAAGAACATGAAATAAAAATAGATGTTAAAATTAGAAAACAGGATCAACTGCAAAATAAAAAAATATTTTTAACAGCATGCCGAGGGTGGTCGGTCATGTCTTAAATTGTGGCTACTTTTTAAAATCGGTACCGTACCGCCACGAAGTCACTCTGACTGTAAGGAACCGAGGGTGAGTAATGGCGATGGTACTAAGCACGATTTAACTTTGAGTTTTTAAGAGATAATCAGATCGAATGTAACAAAAGGAGGTTGACTTTGTACTTAAAACGAAAAACTTTGTACTTGTACTGGTTCGTCGCTATTTGTATGTTTTTATTTATGTAATTACGTTTAGTTGTTAGTTATTATTCATGTTTTTATTTAATCTATTAGACTAATTTATCTGCATATTTCAGTAAGCTCTTTCAAATAATTTTATTCGTAATATTCAAGTTCCAGGTGTAGTTGCAATATATCATTTAAAACCATTTAGGCTGGACTTTCCAAATTTCAAGTAAGATGCGTATAGTTCATAGTTGCCATTGTCATACATCTCAGAAATTAATCTATTGCTGTTACTACCCGCATTCCAATCTTACGTATAATAAGTTGTTGTAAGGTTTCTTGTTTGTGTACAATTTATTTGAACAGCAACTTAAAATATCCAGGTAGCAGTTCTGGAGCATCAGTTGACAACGAGAGCTCAATTCATAAACATTAAGATTCAAAAATAATTCATTTTACTTTCAATTTATGGTTCTTAAATTTAAGCTAGTTAATTTCATAGTTAAGTGTACATATTTATCTTGTGAACTCCATTGTTCGATCCTTTATATATTAAAGTTTTCTACAAGAAGCGGACTTTAATTATTTTAAAGGAAACAGCATAAATTAGCTGTACAATATTAATTTTGGCGTACAGCAGAAGTTAGGATTTTCCGTTCTACTTCACCANAATGCTTTTGCGGAAACAAAACAACCAGCTACCTCTAAATTTATACCACCACTCGGATTCTGCCCTAACCTTTTTATCAAAATATGATATAATAACTGCGTGTAATGGTTAGACAGATTCATATAAAATTGTTTATTTCGGGAATTTCCTAGAGAGTGCCGCTAATATTTGGTACAACGAATATATAAGAAATGAACAAAATTGGGAAAGGGATTGGAAAAGAATTAAAAACGATTTCCAAAAAAAAACATTTGTGTGGTTTTATGAAACCACGATGCAAGTGAAACTTTTCCTATTATAGGAATTTAACTGTAAATTTTCCGAAAATTATTCGATTTATGGTATTAAAATTAAAATCACGTTCTTAATCTTATCTTAATGATTGGAAAATGGGAATGAGACTGGGAAATCAATAGTAGACAAGATATCCAACTATAAATTTTAATTTCAATCTGCGTATGAGAGTACGGAATACGTAATAAATACAATCATTCAAATGATAGACGCATGTTAAAAACTAAGAACAATATTTATTTAAATCATTGAATCATTTTGAACTTCAGTTATTCTATAAATAATTTTATCTTCGCTTTGAGTTTCACAGACTATATTTGTAATTGTCATGCACTTGCACGAATGAGTGAGAATATAGACGCATGTTAAAAACTGAGAACAATATTTATTTAAATCATTGAATCATTTTGAACTTCAGTTATTCTATAAATAATTTTATCTTCGCTTTGAGTTTCACAGTCTATATTTGTAATTGTCATGCACTTGCACGAATGAGTGAGAATATAAATGCTACACGGTTAGCTCATGCGAACTATGCGCACGGCCATATTAGCGTTGGCTGCTCTGCCGAGCGCCTTTCACTTTTACCCCTACTCCGCGGCCGGTTGTAATGCGACATGCGATAGATGGACGAAAAAATTTGTGCAGATGTAATAGAAGTTTCACTTTAAAAAGAACAGCTCTCATAACATTGTAGGTGTACGTTTAGTAAATGGTACTACAATTACAAGGTTGAATAATTTTATACTTACTAAAACGGATTAATTAAAAACGATTCGTTTGCCAAAAGGGGAGTAGCTGATTCTAAAACTTCATAGACAATAGAATTACAGGTTCTTGTGCACTCTTCTATAATTGGTTCCCCTACAAAATGAATTTTTGGTAGGTCTAATCATCTCTTCTAGTCCTATGTATAAGGATTATTTGGAAAAAAGGCTGAACAGAATTTAAACGCAATATGTTGAGAAATAAAGATTAATAATAAATTACAAGTTTCATAATTAAATTAAGATAAAATCAATAGAAATTAAACCGTTGGATAAATGTCTAATGTGCCTACTTACCTTCAAGATGAAGCGTACATGGGTATGAAGTTACATTCTCACACACAAACAAATCTATAAAATAGAAAAATAAAAGCATATTAGTATATTAAACATTTTAATAAATTTCTACTCCAAAACCTTCGCAAGGATTATTGTAACGTAATCTTGCTTTTCTAGACGTTTCGCCGTTCTTTGCTGACGGCATCTTCAGTGGTGATTAGGCAGGTGCTGAGTCGTAACTGATAATATCGGCAAAGAACGGCGAAACGTCTGAAAAAGCAAGATTCCACGGACCACGGCCAAAAAGTCCGGAAGAAAACACAGCATCGATAGACGCCGGCCGTGAAAGCCTAAAAACCTCCAACAAGGCCAATGTTAATATGATAAAAGCAGTGCGTCTACATAACTTTGGTAGGAACGTCACGTTCTTAAGCGATAATGTTTTGATAAAACTGAAAATTTTAAAAAATATAATAAGAATAGGAAAAGCAAACAAACAATTTGATTTTTAAAACATTACGTGCGATTCGACAAGGCAAAATCGCAACACTCTCTAGAATTTCGCCCCCAGTTCGGACAACATGATTAGATTTTAAAATTAATTCGCACAGACCAAATCATTCTACTACCTTCAAGTATATACTGCATACTTGATAGCAAATGGCAATGACGATGGACCCAGTAGTACCGCACGTTTAGAAGAAATAGAGGAACGCAGGAGGTCATTCTAGCTTTAAGGGTAACAATAGAGAAAACGATAGAGAAAGGAAAGAGCGCGTACATAGGATCTGTAGATTTAGAAAAAGCTTTTGACAAGATGTTAAATATACCTAAAAATGTAGGGATGAGTTACAAAGATAGAAGAGTGATACTTAGTTTGTATAAAGAGCAACAGGCAGTTATAGAGCTGGGGTTGCAACGTAGAGAANACGATAATGTTGTTGCTGACAGTTCATCATTTTAGACATTCCTATTCACATTCTACTATTTGTGGGAGTAATCACGATGCCCACGTCAATTGCGGACCGTGTTATTCTAACTCCAATGGATCTGGCGTACGAGACATTCAATAGCAACGACGACAGGATAATCTCGAAAGGAAACAATGTACTTTCAGTTCTCCATTGTCCCGATGGTTTTGTTTTCAATGAGATTTCGCTTAGCTGCCAACTCATTGACGCACTTGCACTTGTTGGAGACGATGATGATCAACCGGCGTCGTTGATGACGGACATTTGCGAAAGCGACTATGTCGGATTAAAAAAAAATCCTGACAATTGCAGGACGTTCTATTCATGTTTCCATGGTTACGGGCACATGTTTAAATGTACATCTCCTTTAATTTTCAACGAAAATACCCTCAGCTGTGAATGGCCGAACTATGCGAAATGCTGCGAATATATCGAAGAAGATCCTGATGTCGTTGTTGGGGGTGCAATATTTTAATTGATTATTACACGTATATGCATGTAACTATTCGGCACTGCTAATGGTGGTAGTTTTAACAGTAAAGCGGATGAATCAATAAACGGAAAAGCGGATATTTGAATGGAGCAACATAAGGTCCAATATAATTCCAGGAGCGCTACGTGTCACTATCGATCGCCTTGTATTACTGTCGTAGACATCGTTAATAAAGATCTATTGTGTATAAGAACTTAATTAGTATTGTGCGAGTTTAAAAAACCTACATACTTAGGTAATAGTTTTTGGATTAGTGCATAGTGATTATCTTCTTTAAAAAATAGATTAAGAGTATACAATACATGACGGCGGTTTTTAAGTTTTTCATCTGAAAATATTAATCCCTATTTATTTCGCTAAAATATTTATCTGATGTTTACAATTTCTTCCCCTCTTAAATTTATTTAATATTAGAAATGGAGCTGCAATAAAGTGCGAAAGTTTATTCTTGGTAATAGTAAACAAACGTTTCACCTCCTCATAAGGAACTTTTTCAAGGTGATATTAAGGCGGATTATCCTTATTTATATGTACATATTACCAGAAATGTAGGAATTGTATAGAATTCAAAGGCTATTTAGGAAATCTATAAAATATTGTTTCAGACATTTTTTAATACATACGTATCCAGGGAAATGTATACATTTCCTAGGAATTGTAAGAAATTTCTATATTAAATTATAAGATTAATCTTCAGAACCGACTTGGAATTTCTTCATTTACCAATTGTCACGTATAGGCAACCCAACATACTGTACCACGTGTAGACAACCCACCACACAGAGTGACAAAGAAGTCCAGATTTTCATTTCAGCTTTCCAAAATAGCAAATAATGCAAGCTTGTTAAAGTGGAAAACCAATGTAGTCATTATAGTTTCTTAAAAGGTCAATAAGGCGATTATTTCCTTAATTCGTATAGAAGTAAGCAGTTTCCTTTTAGTTCTTAGGCATGACAGGTCGAAAGATGACAGTTCGGTTAGATATCGGATATTATTCGCAGTATATAAATTAGTTTTTCTTTGTACCTATGTACACTACAAAATAAAATCTTTTAGTGTTTTATTACTGTATTGAAGTATTACTAAATGTGGCAACTGATACGAAGACAAAATATGCACGATATACATAATAAGTGGAAAAAGTTTCGTGACACGGGTGGGAAGGCACGAGTGAGACACGTGGTAGCGGTATGTGGTACGGAACTCTTCATCGTGCGAGAAATTATGGGTACCTATTTGTATGAAAGCCAATAAATAATTTTGGTGTACTTGTTATTTGTGTGACATCACATTAATTATTTTGTGAAATAACTAAATTATTTCATTAAATCTGCCTGAACAGTTGTCTCAATTTGGCAGATGATACAGATACAGTCGAACCATCAATTCTAAGGGTCCGCAAAATTATTTCAATTGACGGATTTCGAATTAGGGAAAAGGCATTATACATATAAATTGGAAGTGATTCAGAGGTGTTCGAGAAAAAGTCTTCACTTATGAAGGGATTTACAATAAGAATAAAAAAATAAATGTACCATTTTAGAGAATCATGCGGCATTTTTTTTAGACTCTGATTTAGTATCAACGAAAAGTGGATTTCTGGTTTTCGTTGTAATTAAGGACAAGTAGGTCACTACTAGTCATTACTATGAACTAAGGGTTCGTGTGCCCCATTTTGAGATTTGACAAGCCCAGCTTTTTACATATTGAGGAACTATTTCAAACGCTTGTTCTTAGAAACATTCTTTATTCTATTATTAGAGGAGAAAGCTGTATGAATTCTTCATCAGACTTAGAAAACAACTTTGTAGTGAATAGTTATTAAATAAAACCATGCAATTAAAATTACTTAATACTAAAATTAAATTAACTAACTGCTACAGTGGAATTCGTTTATTGTGACTCCGCTTATATTGACTAACCGCTTAATATGAAGTAATTGCAGAGTTAAGTTTGGTTTTCATATTAAATTCTCTATAGGAAAGTTTAAATATAATGACTCCGTTTAAAATGACTGACAAGAAATCACATCCGGTTATAGTGACCCAAATGATTTATAATAACATTTTTGCTCATTCTTCTGACCCTTCTTATGTATATTGATATTACAATTCATCGTTATTTTTCTGTTAATAAATATATACAATTTGTAATTTTTCTCTCTATTAAGCTAAATAACTAAACAAAATAGAAAGTTGTATATTTTCAAAGACTTAGCTTTGTATGACGCCCGCTTCCCTTCGATGTCATTATACGCAGATTCTACTGTATATCTCTACCTATACTAAATTAATTTTATAATATATATACCATTTACATTTTCTCAGAAAAAAACTTTTAATCTGACCGGTTTTATATTGTACTTACTGTATGTCCTGCTCTGTCCTAGTGTACCACGCGGTTTTGATATTATTTTAACCATTTATTTATTTATCTTTACACGCTTTCAATTATTTATAATATATACATACATTTGTGTTTTTGTGATAGTAAGTTTTATTTTGGGGACTCATGTATCATTCACCTCGACGGTTTGTAAGCAATACATTATGACTTTATATAAGTTCGTAGTAAGTTCATACTAATTAAGCACGTATTTCTTAACACCGTTACTATGAACTGCAATCTTGAAAAAGTTTCAAATTAGAGGCGAAACGTTGGCGCTGCTGGTTTTGTTGTAATAAATCGTTTTCGCTCTTGATTGATTCTGATTATTTTATTATATAATAAATGGGAAGAAATGGAACACGTTTCGAATATTCTATAAAATACCCATAATTACTTATATATGTTTTAAAACAGTTGCAATATTTTTTGATATTTCTTTATTGGCGTTACAGTATGACATACCTTCGCAGAGGAAGCATCCTCGGGAAGAGAATCATCCCCTGGGAAATTAATAACTACCGTAAGCCCCATATCGATCTGGGTATAAAGATTGTAGAATCGTTTTGGGAAGGCATAAATATCGGTTGTGTGTCTGTAAACAATTTATAATGAAACAGATTACCACCTTTTCGTTCGTTTTAAATTATTTTTCATAATTACCTTTCAGCAAAAATGCAACATCTTCTATGTTCTATGTAATCGTTCTGGAATCGAGAAGCACAATCAAAATCTTTAGATTCCCATTGGCATTTAACTAAAAACTCTTTACAATCTGGAATGACTGAATTTATGAATTTGGTTGCATCCCATATTTTGTTTTTATAAAAAATTTCATCCAAAACTATTAACGCTGTTTTGTTAACATTAGACTCGTATCTTTCAAATAATTCGAGCACAGCATTTTCTACGTCTGCTTCGGAATAACCAATCAAATCCCTAGAGAAAAAAAAATATATCTATTAACTGAATAGAGTCTTAATGGCGAAGCTTTTGTCATAAAATATTTGGCTGTGTAAACAATTTAGTAACATATTGTAGCGATGACGAGTATGTTTGTGTGCGATCGGGCATACGTGTGCGTGGACGGCTTATCGATTCGCCGACTAGCCGCGGGCGCCTTTCTTCATGCACGTCGTATTTGTAAATGTGTGTGTCGTACCTGCGTTCTGGGAAAGCAGTCAAAAAGTTCAAACAAAAACAAAACGATCCGGATGTTTCTAGAGTGTTCCAGAAAGGAAACAAAAGAGTATTTAAAGGAAGAGACGATCGCCGACATAGCAGAAATAAATTGACCGTTGCAGAAGTGAGTGGAGAAATAAATTGACAGTGATAGCAGTGAAATAAATAGCGCAGTGAATAGCGATATAACAACAGTAGTGTAAATAAAGAGTTTTGTCGTTATCAGTCTTAAAAGTTAATTTTGTTAAACCAACGAACATTACAATATGTATAATATTTCTTAAGAATTGATATAACCTATTAACTGTTATTCATTTAATAACATAACTTTGTCATGAATCACTGGAATAAAATCTAGCAAAATGGACGGTGTATTTTACGTAACGTATTACGTTTGAAAATCTAGTTTGAGAACATATTTCCATTACTTCTCAGTTCAACAATTTCGATATTAAACGTTGACAGCTTTGTCAATAGATGCATTTGTTTGGGAAAATATCCCGACATTTGAATTCAGCCGAACATTAAAGCTACTGGTAAAAACAAAACGAGAACAAACCCACAATCAACGTCTCGGGACTTCAGGACTTCCCAGAATAAAATTACAATCGAATTCATTTTTGACGAGATGCATAAAAAAAAGGAATTTTAGTAAAAATCAACATTTATTGAACATAAAATCAAAATCCAAAATTTATAACTTAGTTTAAACAATTCGTATATTAGCATCTAGCAAGGAGGAGTTAGAGATAGTCTTAAATAAAGTGGAAGCGGTATTGACAAAACAATATTGTATGAAAATAAATAAAAGTAAAACAAGAATACTGGTATGCAAGTAGGGAAAGAGCGAATATAAAGATAGGAGACGAAAAATTAGAAGAAGTGGCTGATTTTAGGTATCTAGGAAGTCAGATAAGTGAGGATGGAAGGAGTAGTAGTGATATAAAGCAGAGAATAGCGCAGGGTCGAGTCGCCTTCAATAAGAAGAAGTCAGTTCTATGCTCACGAACGATTGATGTAGAAATTCGAATTCGATTGTTAAAGGTATATGTTTGAAGCGCTGGGCGCGTTAGAAAAGAAAAGGTTAGAAGCGTTCGAAATGTGGTGTTGCAGGCGAATGATGAGGATACCGTGGATAGAGAAGGTTAGAAATGAAGAGGAATTAGAAAGAATAGGAGAACAGATGACTCAGCAGAGTTAGTGTGGTTAAGTTGAATGCGTGGTGTCGATAACTTAATTCCGACATGTAGAACTTTAGATGACCACCAAATACCCATCCACAGCACGTTAAGTCTAGGAGCCTTCTTGTTTGACACTCTTCAGTTTATTATCAAGTTGGACCATGCTGCATCCTCACATTGGATCGTGGGGTGCAGTAATAAGTTTGGTTAAAAGATTAGGCTATTTGGAATTTACATAGCTTGGTCACGAAGATTCGTCTTACACCATAACGCATATGAACGTCTCATGTAGCCTCTCTGGTGGGGTTCTGCTACCTGAAAGTTGCAGCAGATGTTCTGGTCCAGCTACAGCTAACGACGATTCTGAGGAATCTAATTGTTCAACGCGACTAGCACCACTTTCTATTGTTCGAAAGAAACTGTAGCCTTTTGAGCGTCAGAAACCCGCTTCCTCAACACTGTCTTTGGTTTGTTATCGCGACAAGCACCAACTCCAGATGTGCCTTGACACTCCCCAAGTAGCTACACATTTGCTAAAGTTTCGTTACTTTTTATTTCCATTACAGAAAATTCACCTGCACCCTACTATGCACACATACACACACCCTGGTTACACGGTGGAATGGATGTAGGCACCTTTTACTATTCCGAAATTACCTTTTCGATAGTAACAGAACGCTACAAAAGGGCGCCGTTGGCCAGACATAATTAAATTATGTATAATTGTCATTATTATTTGACTAGGAATTTTAAATAAAAATTTTGTGTCTTAACTATGTGATGCTGTACTATTATTGTCTGTTAATGTTGATTTACTAAAATAGTAGTATTGATGAATCTCTT